ACATCCCTTGCTAGCTATCACAGTTTCAGTAACTGTCATGTGCTTTTTTGTCACGTGACTGTGTTGGAGTTTTTCATTTTCTCCAAACACATCTCAAAAATACCACCACAGATTAACTACACTAATCTCTTGTTTATTTAAAACAAGTTTCTGTTTGATGCCAGTTCAAGTATGGGCCCTGTGACAAAGCTGGTTAGAAGGAGGAAAACCAAAACCCTGAGACAAACACCCTGTTCTGTACCATTTACATTAGAAGGAAAAGAACTCCAGGTAGCCATCCTTGAAAATACCAGTGAAATTTTGGGCACATAAGGAATCTATCAGCAGCTGACAGAAGCAGTAATTTTAGGACACTGTGAGAAATTAATTCTTTCTACAGAATTCAAGTCATCCATTCTTTTAAGTCCAGAGAGCTGGCGTGACCACAGGGAACGTGTGTCCTGAGCACAGCCCCAGCCCTACCCAGATTAATGTTAAACATATTCATTCCAGGGCACTCTATCATTCAGTCTTTGCTGCTCAGAGCATCTGCAAGAAGTGTTTGTCTCACTGCTTCCCTTAGGATGGCTCTTCAGTTGTTTGATCCAGTTTAGAAATTAAGTTCCTTGACTCAAGTATTAAATCTTCACCCATTTTGTGCTAGACATCTTTGATAAAGTAACTAGAAGCCAGCAGCACTGAATCAAGATTTAAGAATGAAAACGGCTTTTTATTTTTTTTCACAAGTAACTGCCACCCCTCGTGTTCCACTGCTGAAGGTGATTGCCCAATACAATTAATATTATTTTTCCAACCACTTAAAACCAGTATTATGTCATTAACCAACCATGTATGAGAAATACATGCTCACAAAGTACTGGCTCAGATCTCTTGACTTTCTTTACCTGCTAACTGGGATGCATAAGCCCATAGGAAATGGCAACGTTTCATGCAGGCCTGGCACACCATTTCATGGAAGTCTCCACTCTCAGGGGGAACTGCACCAAGATGCTGTCAGAAAGAAGTGAGCACACAGAACTGAAGCATCTATATTGTTCACATACTGAACTTGAGAAGAATTCAGTCCCAAAGCTGTCCATAAATTGATGAGAACTATTTGGGCAATTAAAAGCACTTAGTGGCTTTCTTCTGAAAAAGCATTCCTGCAAAGCTCACAGTATGCAGCACAACACTCTTCATTCATACACTTAATACAAAAGAAGTTTATCTACAAGAACCCATAATTGAAGCCAATCATATTTTTTTTACTCTTTGATCCTGCAACTTCAAGCATGGAATTTCACTTGTGCTCCTCAAGGCACAAGAGGCTGAATCCTTAATGCTTACCCATTAAGTAGGGCCCCCACTGCAGTGCTTGGCTGCTTTCAAAAGACTTCCCTAAAGTTTGGAATCAAGAATGAACAGCACAGTCTGTTCCTTGCTACTTGAAGGAATAAAGAGTTTAAAAGACATTCTTTTGAAGGAAAAACTATTCACATTGTTGATAATGATGTGGCTCAGTAAGAATCTTTTCCTCACCAACTATGCTGCTTATTGTTTTCTGTTGCAGAAAGAGCTGTTTGTCGGGGATGAGCCATTTGTCGGGTGCAGGGAAAACGTGGGACGCTCAATGTGAGATCAGCAAGCTCCGTTTATTGAAGAGAGCATCAGACACTTACACAGCAAGCAATGAGCTCATGAATATTCTGTAATTTACACCGTCCATTGGCCACACCACAATATCAGCTCTTCCCCATTCCTCAGGAGTTACATCTCTCTTTTCTCATGTCTCTTTCACTATTTGTTATCATACTCCAGCTGGGCCCAAGGACACGCTATCTTGCAGGTGCAGGACTTGGAATTAGCCACGGCCTTGTACTTTTCTAATTCTTAGCTACTCTCCCAACAGTTTTCTAATTAAGGAGACAGTTATAAAGTTATTGCTTTATTCTGCACTGGTAACCTTCAAAAAGGTAGGACTCTTCCCAGTATTTTTAACTGGAGTGAACAGCAGTGCAAGAGTAATGTTCCTTTACATAAGCTGAAAACAAATGCCCTGGAGCTCCTGTAATAATCTCCTTCGAGAAGTACAGCACACCTCCCAAGTAAGAATCACCATACAAACCTAAACACCAACTCCATCCTGTGCAAATGGCAGCTCTGCTATTTATAGTTTCCTTACCCTTCCATGGAACCAGTCTTCACAAACTATGCATTGGATCATCTCATCTGGAATCTAGATGAACATGCATGTTATTAGCATTAACAGCAATCTCCTCAATCTCTCACCAGTCTCAAACTGCAGCACCATGCAAATCCTGCTCAGTGAATTGCCTTTCCCTCTTCACCCCTCACAGGGAGCTCCCATTAGTAAGTAGTTAGTGCTTAAACCAGTCTTCCTAGCAGGGCAAGGCTTTCTCACAGAAAGGTGATAAAAGTTAATACACTACTGGTATCCTTCATCCTATAAACAGAAATGCATGGACAGCTCAGAAGAAGAAAGATACTGATATTCACACTGTCATCAGGTCTGTGAAAGATGCCAGAACCAAACTTAACTGGACACCACACAGGACTGTATGAAATGCTTTATTATGAAATAACTATAAATTATTTCTTCAGAAATGTTTTTAGCTGTCCCTGAACTTGAGAGAGGGGAGCTTATAAAATGCCTTTTTTTTGGTATTTGAAAGACTTGTGCCTTCCCTGTTCTTTAGGACACCTGATTCCTGTGGCTGCAAACAACAGCATGCACGTGCAAATGCAGTGCCGTGTTTTAGTGTTCCAGAGAGACAAAAGAGTGTTCTGGCTACCACCTAGGACTGTAGCTAGTGCTGCAGGACAGGACAGACTGTCTCCACCCCAGAAGCCTTGCCAGAGCAGTGCTGCAGGCACAAGGAAGCACATTCTGATCTCTCTCCTATCACATGAAATGTATTTATTCTGCACTAAGCCACATTTCTCAAGGTTATGATAATCCTGTTCCCTAGGGGAACTCCACAACTTCAGGGAACTGCAGCACCATTTTGTCCAAATGATGACTTGTCCTCCTCATCTGTCTCTAAAGCATATACATACTTTAGTATTAAAAAAAATTATCAAGTCATTACTTCACATGACACATGAAAACCAATATGGAACATCAGATTTCTTGAAGTGGGATCTTCCTTGAAAAGTAGCTCAGGGATCACCCTTTGCACAGTATCTACCATAAACACCATCTATATATAATTGCTACTGGATTTTGTATTTCTTACCTCATCTTCAGGATCAGGGTAAGGTCTTTTGCATGTACAGTACAATCCGTAGAAGTTGTCATTATATTTATTTCCTGAATTCACCTTGCCCTTTTCCTAGGAGAAAAGAGAAAAAGTCTCAAAAGACAACACAGTAAAAAACTAAAGACAGTAAATGACAAAAGACAACCATTTCTGTTCCCTCTTAATTCCTAAAACCATCATTATTTTCATCAGCCTGAATATACAAAAATAAATATATTCTCCAGACACCTCTGCTTTACACTGAGCAGCAGATAGGGCACATGAGGAATGTTAAAGTTCAAAACTAAAGAGGAAAAACAGTCTGCTCACCCTTGTAGCAAATGGCAACCATGGTGTCAGACAGATTAATGGACAGATGCTGAAGCCCACTTAACCTGTACAATTGAATTTTCACTGAACTGAAGCAGAAGGAACAACCACATGATCCATTTCATTGACTCAAACGAGAAATGGTAACATCTTAAATTGTCACAGGTGTCTGTAGGGATCACTGCACCGTGACTTTGCTGACTAGCTCTGGATCCATTTCAATTCTCCCAGCACAAAACAGCCATACACAAAACCACTGTCTGTTTCAATGTTTGGACAGCTATTATCCTGGGAGCACCAGTGCGAGCAAACCAAGCAGCATCTTGTTGCTGCCTCAGAGAAGACTGAGACTGCCAGTTAATTGAAAAGTTCAAAATCCCCACCAAGTAGAAAAGCAGAGGCAACTTAAGACAGTAAAAAACCATCCCATCAGTAAGCTCTGGGGACAAACTATTGGGGCACTAATGCCATCACAAAGAAGGAAAGGGAATTGACCCTCTGACAGCAGCACAGCCTTAAACTTTCTTACTGCAACAGCAAAATTGCATCCCAAAAGGTTTTCTGAAACAGCTTAAAGCTAATGAGATGTGTGAGAGCAGCAACACCACAACCTGCTCCTGCAGGTGTGCTGGACATGGATGCAGAACTGCTGCCCTCACGGACGGCAAGGACCAAATGTTCCTTCTGCTCCCAGCATTTCCCTTCGGTCCCTCAACAGTTTTACTCCTTGCTGTAATATTCCCACCTTTTCTAACTTTCTGGGAAGACTGGAGGCGAGGCATGGCATGAATCAGCACTGGCTGAGGCACGGCACCACCCACCCAGGACTGTTATTTTGACTCCGAATGCCTGAAACCTGTCTGAAACTTACCGGGAGTAACTTGCACTGCAGATTTTTGAACTTGCTATTTCCACAGTCACAGCGGAAATTCCTGAGAGAGAAAAACGTAGCGTTTCAGGGTTTATATGAAGTGAAAACACGCTGGGTTTCGTATTCTGAACAATTCCCAGCAGTTTATCAGGAGCCACGAGGCTCCTACACGGCCCGCCCCTCAGCCCGTACCTCTTGGTGTAGAGCTCGAAGAGGCGGTGGGTGCCGTGGCACTCGTAGCTGCAGGCCAGGCAGATCCCCGCGGGCTCGGCGCCGGGCGGTGTGCAGGTGCTGCAGGCGTACAGGGCCTGCCGCTTCACCGCGCCCTGAGGGAGACACCGACCGACAGACACACAGACCGACAGACCGCGGCGTGAGGGGCGCTGAGGCGGGGGGGGGGCTGCCCTGCCCCGCCTCGCCCCGCATGCCCAGGCCCCGCCCAGATCGCGACCGCGCCCCGCCCCTCGGTTACGCCCCTGGTCACGCCCCTGGCCCAGGCCCCGCCCCCGGCCCCCGAGGCCCCCGGCCCCGCCCCCACCTGTGAGTAACTGCAGCGCTCGTGGTCGCTACCCCCAAGCACGGCCCGCGCTTCCTTCTCCAGCTCCTCGTTCTCCGCCAGCACCTCCGCCAGGGACACCACGGGTTCCTCCGCGCCGCTCCCGCCGCTGCCCGGCTCGGCGCCCTCCGGAGCCGCCGCCTCCATCGCCGGGACGCGAAGGCCGAGGAGCGCGAAGCGAGGCGGGAAACCCGGGCCCGAGGAGGCGCCAGGGGGCGCCACAGCGGAAGCGGAATGGCGCGCGCCCCACGTGACCGTGGGCGGTGTGTCACGGCGGGGCGGGGCGGCCCGCACGTGACCGGCGGGGCGGGCACATGAGCGGCTGGCGGTGATGGCGGAGCTGGCGGCCGAGACGGAGCCCGAGCCGGGCCCGGGGCGCGATCTGGTGGCGGAGCTGCGGGGCCGCGACGGGAGAACGCGGACGGTGCGGGTGCCGTACCCGGCGGCGGCGGAGGGCGAGGCCGCCCAGCTGCGCGGGCTGCGGGCGGCCCTGAGCGAGCTGCAGGAGCGGGTGGTGGAGCTGCTGGCGCCGCTGGTGCAGGAGGAGCGGGCGGCTGCGGGCGGCGCGCGGCGCGGTGAGTGGCGGGGGGGGCGCGCCGAGGGGGCTCCGCCGGCCCCGGGGCGCCGCCCGCGCCCCGCACCGTTCACCCGCGCCCGCCCCAACTCCGGCAGGTGCTGGCGGGGATGACGGCGACGACGACTACGATGACGAGGAGGAGGATGAAGGCGAAGACGAAAACAACGTGGACGCGGCGGCGAGCGGCGATGACCCTCCCGTGAAGCGGACGAAGGTGCAGCAGCCGTGAGGGCGGCGCTGGAGGCCGGGCCTGTGCCCGGTCAGGCTGTACCGACTGTAAGTGTCCCGGGCCCGCTGCACGGAGCCGCTCCCGTGGCGCTGCTCCTCCCGTTTAAATGCGAAATGTCCATCCCGACACTGCTTTAATACGGAAGCCTTTCCCAAAGGATGCGCCTGGGTGTGAGCAGCGTGTTGCTTACAGGGTGCCAGTGTTACGCTGGCACCAGTTTTTTGTAAACTACTTGGCAGGTACAGACTTTTCTCACAAATCTTCTGATTGGTATGTTTTTTAATAACTTATTTTGAGTCACAGTATTTTTTCATGTGACACCACTTTTAAAATAAAGCAATAAAACCTGAAAAGAGTTATTTTGTCAAATATGATCTTTGAAAGACAGCTTGTGTTTGTATGGAGAAAAAGCAATATAAGATCATTATAAGTATCAAAATTAACAAGCATGTATAGGACTGTGCCTGTTCCTGTACAATCCTACAGCAGAAGATTATTTTTGCTTAGCTTCAGCAAGGTTTGGTCACCTGTCAGTCAAGAAGCTTCTGTGAAAAGGTATAGAACACTCTAGTGTTTATACCTGTTTAATGGATAGTCATTCCATAGAGCCTAAGGCCTAAGAGTGTTCTCTAGCAGAATTTAACTGCCTGAATGAATACTGTGAAAAGCATTTCAGGGGCTTATTTTCATTTTCTTGTGTTCTGGCACAGTTTGTTTATATTTTATGGGACCTGAGCAAATCTTGAGACTTACATATGTAGGACAAAGTATGGAAATAAATGAACTTTTATGAGGACAAAATTGTCTGCATTCGTTTGAAATGCAGGGAAGAGCCAGAAATGAGGTTCAGTAGATGTGTCCTTGACATTTATGTACTCAGATACTCTAAGATGCTCTGTTGGCAGATGGGATAGAAGCAGAACTGAAAAGACCAACTCAGGTTGTACACTTGTTTTCCCTTTTCCTCCAGACAAAACTTCCAGAAATGGTATGAACTGTCTAATGGCTGATTAGCAACATTTAACATTAGGCAAGAATTTGTGGCCTTTACCTATAAACTGTGTAAACACTCCACTGGCATGTCATGGACTGAAAATGTTTGGTCTAAAGCAACAGAACCTAACTCAGCACCACTGGAGCTTCAGGAGACCTTATGCAATTCTAAGTTGTAGGTTTGCTTCTGGCAAAAGTGCCCTAACTCTTTTGATGAAATGAAAAAACTTCATTTTTCTGAGAGTTGCTGCGAGGTTACCAGGCTTGGGAAGCTTTAGTGTGATGTGGTTCCCTACCCTCCCAATCCCCTACAGCTGTGTTCTGAACCCTGTCTGGAGAACCCCATAGTCATCTGTGGCCCTGAATTTTAGGCAGGGGAGGTAAGCCTCAATGGAAAAGATGCTGTATTCTTCACCTCAGAGAGAGGCAGTGCTGTTGTACCTAACCAGCCTTCAAGGGGGCACAGAACGAGCTCAGCTCACCACATCTGCACTGGTCAGTGCACTTTGTATGTCTTACTGATAGAACTTGGTTTTACTGGCCCCAGGGAGCTCAATGGATTTCCTCACTAAAATAAAGGGGGGAATGCTGGTGTGTTTGTATGGAATTAAAAGAGCTGATGTGATACTAAATTCTTGGTGGTTAGATGATAACCAATTACTTTTACTAGTTACAAAACATTACAACAAAAAATGCCAAAGTGTGTCTCCTTCACAAAGACTGGGATTATATGACGTACTCTGTTGTTACTGTTTTGAAATACTGAACTGCTGGTTCAAACAATTTTGAGGCTAAATTCATGAAGGAACTTAACAGGTTGCAGTTGTCTGTGTTTAAAAAAAAGCTTAAATCTCAAGTATGCAAGGCACTCAGATAGCTCTGTGATGGAGAGGAGGTAATCCCATTATGCCCAGTAATTGGGACACTGTCTAAAAGTGCAGTGCCCTTCCTATCTCCCAGGAGAGGGATCCACAGTCATCACTTTCATTAAAGGATCTGAATGCCATTCACCCATGGCAGCCCATTTAAAAGGTAACTTATCCATAAGTTACCATCTTACCATCCATAACTCCATCTTCAAAGGTAACTTACCCATAAGCTATCATGAGTATCAGGTTCTCTGTGAACTACCCAGTAGTCTGGCAGCTGGGACATCATGGGCCTTAACTTGGTGCCTGGGTTAGCACTCAGCACTGTGAACACCTGAGCAGTTCTGCACCAGCCACATGGGCTAGACATGGGCCCTGAGGGCTGAGTTGGGCAGATGCACCTTCTTATGGCTGTAGCATGTTCTTTCTTCCCAAAGAAACCTGCACCATCTTTAAAGAGAACTAAGATAAATCAGTTCTTAAAATTTAACTACACAATAAAATTATTAAACTGCTTTTGTGCATTAGGTCATTTGTAGAAAAGTGGTTTTCATCAAAGACTGTGACATAAAAATCAGGATTTTTAAAAAAACTAGTATGAGAAACTAAAGAGTGTCCTTTTAAAAAAATAATGGACCAGGCAAGAGAAAATAAGGAGAGTTAATATGTATTCTGCAACAACTGGAATGTTTTGTTCCAGGGATAAATCAATCCTCATATTTTTAATTTAAAAAAGGAATCAAGTTTGCAGTCCTACTTTGCTGCTGGAAGAAACATGCCATAAGGAACACATTTTACTGTAACTTACTTCTGTCCATGCAGCCTCATGTTATGCTCTTCATTGGACCTGCTCCCCCATGGCAGGAATGAAAGACAGGCTTAGTAGCAATTGTGCAGACACATTCCTGAGATGGGAAGGGACTGTCAGGTAAAGGTCAAGCAGCTAAAGAAACTAACTTTGAGACTGCTCAAGTGATGATCAAGCAGTCTGACACTGCTTTATCTTGTGACACAAATGAAAAAAAAAGAAATCTAGGGTAAGTGGCATACAGATGATCATTAATCACCCTCGTGTTACAGCTACTCACTTTGTTGGCAGAACATTAAAGCTCAGAATGTTGCAAAACTTCAAGCTTGATTATCCCAAAAGTTTGTATATGATGTAATTTTCTGTTACAGACAGGTCTTTGGTGATTCAGATAATCAGCCTTGACAATACTTATAAATTTTCAGAATAATCAAGCTGAAAGTTATTTCACTATTTTTTTTTTTAATACTACAGTAAAAACCAATTTATCATTCATTTTTATAGTCTTTCCTTTATTTACCCTGTTGGTAAGATTCCACCTGTTGATGTTCCTCTGGTATCAAAAATGCTGGAAGCACCAGCAGAGCTAACTTAGCTCTTCTCCTACTCCCACTGTCTAATATTCGTATCCACTATGTTAATAGTTCTCCACTGCTGCCTTCCCCTTCAAGCTCAAATGTTTACACACATAGCATTTGCTTGAATCAGACTGTGTGTTTTTCTGTAGTTAGTTGCAAAGCAATGCCTGTCAACAGCTGGAATCCAAAACCAGGCCTCTGATGGCAAAGTCGATGAACACGAGCCCCAGTTCTGCAAGCCCCCGCCATGCCCAGCATGTGCTCCACAGCCAGACAGCTCTGATCACCCCTCCAGGCCTGCCAGTGAGTTTGCTAAGGGTCTCATGTCTGCATGACACAAAATGAGGTGGTTCTTCCTATCATTTTCTATTTTTGGTGCTTCCTCTTATGCACTTGGCTCTTTGAATAGTTCCATCTGCATACAATGTAACTGTTCAGTTTAAAACAGTCCAGCCAGAGGTATCTCTCATACACAAGAGTAAAGAAACAAGGGGATTCCGTTTCATCCAGCAAGCCCCAAAATTTCAGGCTACAAACAAGTAATTAGGGCACAGAGCATAAGAGGAGAACAAAAGATGAACCGAACACACACACTGAGGGAAGGACATGAGCACAGGCTACAGCAACTGACAGCCAGCACTGCTGCCTGGCACCAAACACCCAAAAATACCCCACTAAACCAAAACCAAACAACAAAAATGAAAAGCTATTGATGAGCATCTGCATTAATAGACTTGTGTTTACAAACATTGAAAAGTTTTTATTTTATAGATAAATAGCATGGTGATTTTAAAAGTTGAGAAACAATACAACTTAAAAGCTCTGACTCCCCAAGATACTAACTATTAGTCAGAGTTTATAATTTACTCTTACTCCAGCACAGTAAGATGGCAGCTTCCTCCTTTTCATATTGCACTTAGAACTCAAACCCTTCTTGCAAAGGCTACATTGTTTTCAGGTCCTAGCACCAATGCTGACAATTGAAACCAGTGTCTCAAAGTATCTCCAAGTGCAAACAGAAAGTTTAAGGTATTGGAACTGCCATGCTTAAACACAGCAACAGTGAAAATAGTGTTCTCTTTCCAAAGCAAGAGAAAGACAACTTTCCAGGATTCCCTTAAAGCAGTCAGAAATAGATTAGCATTTGTGATGATTAGATATGGACAATCACATACAGGTGAAATTATAGTCAAGGAGTTCAGCTCATAATTCTTTTGAGCCTACTACTTCTGCTACTTCTGAGAAGTGTATTTTGCACTGTTTTCATATTTGTTACTTCCATCATGGCTGGGACAAAAATTTAGTTCTCAGAAGAAACAAAAATGGACCGAAAGAAAGAACAGATTCAGTCTTATTCAAAATATGCTATTCCAAAATAGCACTGAAAAATAGAGGTTGAAACTATGGCAAAGAAATCTCAATGGAATTTCAGTAAGACTGAAGAAATTTACATTCATTACAAGAATGAGAAGGTACCTTACTTCTTTGAATTTCTGGAAGAAACATGATTATCTGTCTTACAACCTGTTAGTAGCATCCCCCAATCAGTTAACTTTCCCAAATTCAAAGTTTTTCCTAATATATCAGTTCTCTTGGAGCACAGTTTCCCACAATGTCTGAAGTGAAATTGGAATGGCCATAAATTTCAGTAACTTGTAATTTTATCAAGGAGGATGATAGGAGAAGGAGACACAAAAGAATTTTTGTGCAGACTACAAGCCAATGCCAGCATAGACTGCTTTTGATGTTGTAGGAACAGTTTAAAACACCAAGCTCCAGGCCTATGCCACTCCTCACTGCCTGCCTACTACAGCATGGGACTGTTGTGACTGAAAAGAAGTAGCCTACCACAGAAAAAAAAGTACTTTTTCCCTTTAAAGGTTTGCACAAACTTTATTCTTTGCTTCCTGTTTTTGTATCTAAACTTATTTTTTAAAAATTCCTTTAAAACAGCACTGATGTAGATAATAAAAAAAAAAAGAAAAAGCAAAGAATTGCGTTAGGTGCAGCTTTTATAATCACGTTCTTAATTTCTTTTTTCCTTTTACATTTACCACAAAAGAAGTATCTTTTCATTGATTTCACTCCAAGGGAAAACATAAGAAATCACTTTTTTGCACAGAGGAGTAAAGTTGTGGACCAGAAACTTGTTTCCCCACAGGACATTTCAGATGGAGAGTTGCAATTTTGCATCATTAAGGCAAAATGAGGAATACTTCCAACATGTGTCACACAGATCTCTCCCACTCTGGCCACTGGATAGATCCATAATTAAAAACCTTTGTAATTACTTGTTTGTTTTAAATAGAAAACAGTCATTCTCTTCATTGCTTATCAGTTTGAAAGAAAAGGCCCCTTCCGGCCTTCACCCAGAACTTCAGTCTTGTGATTAGATCAAGCAAATGCAATTGCTTCCAACCAGCAACAGAAACTAGCAGTTGAGCTAAGTGTCAATTAGTTGTAATCTACTGATCTGATTAGAGGCCTTGACAAATGTTTGGTGCCGATTGCAGATAACAGCCAAGCAGATAGGAATGATGCAATACCCAACAG